GGAGAGGATGGACTTTTCTCATCATTGGGGGGTTTGTAGACAGACTAGAGACACATATTAGAGTTAGAGAAACATGGGAAGTGTGTTTAACAGAATTTGTGACCTTTAAAATCAGATGCATTGAAATTCACTCTGGGTTGAAAACTTTCAGCTGAATCGTCGACAAAATGTTTCATCTACAGTTTCATCAGCGTGTTTGAGGGTTCGTCGATCCTTTTACGTGTTTTTTCTGAAGTCTCCGTTTGAACCCCGGACACCAGAAGGCACACAAGTAGACGCTGGGTCGGGGCGTGGAGAAAACAGTGATTAGAGACTTAAAGGACAAACGTAAGACTCTTAAGTGCTTCATCAAAATATTTCTCAGGACTGAACGAGAACGAGAGAGACGACAGCGGTGGGTTAGCACGCTGAAACACAAGCCCCGTCCTCGAGGAACTTCATTATTTGAAACCGGCACTTAAAAGTCGGCGTCCCGGTGAACGGCAGCGTGTGTGTTTGTGTTTGTTAGGTAGTTTTCAGTTTTAAACTCTCAAAGTTGGTGATAAAACAACAAAAAAACAAAGTTTGTGAGATCGATGGATTGAAGTTAAATGAACTTTTTTTGTTCTCAAGTGAAAAAAACAACAAAAAACAACAATAAAAAAGTTACATTACGCACACTACGTTAAAATAGAACTAATATTATCAAAAAGGCAAATAGTAGGTGTATTGCAACGCTCTCTGCGGCATCACTATCAAAAAACATCATCTTCATCATCCTCAATCTCATCATCATCATCCAATCATCGTCTGAGACAGTAAGGAGGCGTGGCCTGGGATGATTGACAGCCCAAACTAGCCACTCACATTTCGCCCGTCTCAGCGTAGGCAGGCACACTTGTACGACATAGCAAAGACAATATAGATATATATGTATGGTAAACGTTTCCAATGGAGACCACCAGCCGGCCAATGAAGGCGAGGGCCGGTCTTAGAGGAGCTCCGTCATTGGACAGCAGGCATCTCTAACAGGAACAGGAAAGAGCTCATTCAGAGATGGAGGGAGGAGGGAGTGTGTGTGTGTGTGTGTGTGTGTGTGAGAGAGATGTTATTCTATCTTGTGTGGTCCTCAATAAAAAAAAAAGTAAGTGTATGAATGAAGCTCACCTGTGAGTGTGTGTGCGTGTGTTGAAGGTCTGGTTTCTGGGTGCGTTTGTTTAGTCTGAGTGTGTGTGTGTTTAGTTTTTGTCTAGACAGCTGGAGGTCTTTCCCAGGGCAAGTCAGAGTACACACACACACACACACACACACACACACACACACACACACACACACACACACACACACACACACACACACACACACACACACACACACACACACACACACACACACACACACACACACACACTCTGCTGTGGGAAAGACCTTGTCTGCTCACTAAACAAAAAGTCACACTGCTTTCAGGCTGGTTTGAAGCAGAGAGATCCACAGAATTCTGCGTTTTCTTTGCACTGATTTGATTTGAAGGTCGCTGTCGACTTCACGATGGTTCTTGTGTTTTAATACTTCATAATAAAACAGAGAATTTAGAACATATCGATGGTTAAAGACAGGCAAAGCGAACCTGTTGTCACCTCTCTGCGTGTAAACAAAGGCGTGTTTGTGTGTGTGTGCGCGTGTGTGTGTGTGCTGGCAGAGCGCTGCATCGTCTGCGTGTGAGCGGATAAATGTGTGATTCTCCATCCTCTCCTCTCGTCTTTTTTGTTTATGTATCGTCAGCCAGCGCAGGTTTCCCTGAAGCGAGAGATTGATTCCACAGTCTTTACTCTTTGACTCTACCTACATAAATCTACCGACTAATCTCTGCTCAGCGTCCGTCCAGCCTTCTGATACCCGCTGCAAACCCTCAACAGCAGGGACCCAAACCGTTAAAAAACTAAAGGGGGGGACAGCCAAGTCCAAACACAAGATTCATCCTGATGGAGGGAAAGAGGAGACTAGCCTAAGGGAAGGTCAATAACGTATCAAAGCCCGTCGGTAGGACCGGGCTCAGGATCTCTTCTTTTTTTTTTGATTGAACGACTCGTCACTCCTTTGGCTGCTTTGGGTCAAGAGATTCTTTAAAATCGTTTCTTTTTATCTTCAAGTGCTCAAATTAAATTTGAAAAAAAAAGGAAAGCAGAGACTGTAAACAAAACAAGAGAAAGAAATGACTTTTGATTATGAGTTCTATTTTTGTCTTTTTCTAAATCACTGAAGTCGAATCACAAATAAAACACCTGATTTGACGGACGGATGCAGCTCCGGAGTTTTAAATTTGTTAAAATATGAACAGAAGTTTGAGGAGTGATTCAGTCTGCTGTGTGATCATGAGGACGAGATAACAACATTCCTCGCATCCTGGATTGTAAATTATTTTGGGTTAGGAAACAAATTTGCTGCTTCAGAAGCCGAAAAAAAACTAGCTTTTATTGGACACACACCTGAATCATTTTCGCCCCGATGGTTTTAAGAATCTTTACGATTTTTGGAAATAACTTGAAAACCATTAAAATTTCTTGTCTTTTACAGATGACGAGTAAATTAACAGAAAATCTCTAGAGACTCTGATGCAAAGTTGAAAGATCTGCAGCTCGGAGCGCTCAGAAAAAAGACGCTGGCCGCTGTGCCTTTTCTCCAGGCGACCGCTTTCTGCTGCAAACGCTCTCTACTCATTGAGAAAAGACCCTGGCGCTCAGAATAAAATGCCAGGTGGACACGGGGCCTACAACGTCTGTGATTCGTTTCAGAAGGAAAAAAGACAAAAACATTTGGGATTCACTCGATACTCTCACTTTTTTTGGCCGTTTGTCTTTCCTTGTCTTCTGCAAATTCGAGCCGAGTCAGTTTTGGGGGTCTTGGCTGTGGTTTGGTTCCGATCCCTGTAGAGGGCGCTGTTGCATAAAGACTGGACTCTAAAGATCGCTGGCTTTTCTTTGTGCCAACATGTGGTCCCTTCACATCTACCAAACATATTCTACATATTCTCATCAGCTACAATTTCACTTTTTATTCCTTCAACTCTTCAACGGACGACCCGCGACAGGGCCGCCATAAACACTCGTGTCACTTTTCAACACTTCAGTGTGTCTAGCTTCTTGACGACCCGTCTCGTGCTGCGTTCAGCGCACAAAAAAGTTCTGCTCCAAAGCTGCAAACACGATGAGAGAAAGTGTCTTTTTTTATTATTGAGAGAATATGGGGGTGTTTTATTTCTCAAATGTCAAAGGTTCTTTTATCCGAGTGGCAGCAGCACAAAGCGGAGAGATGCTCAGTCTCCAAAATGTCTAAACTGTTATTATTAAAAAAGATTTCAGGAATGATCGCTGTGAAAGAGACCAGACATTCAATGCCACTGTTTAACAGAGCCCAAGCTCAGCGCCACCGACTGATTTTGGTCGGCACCAGAAAGTGTTTGGAGGGTGGAAGAAGACGACTGAGTCACTTCAGGACCTTGTGTCTTGTATGAAGAGAGCATCTCTTCTGACTCCACGTCTGCGCTAAGAGGGGGGGCTGATTCAAACAGACGCACCAAAGCTTCAGGTGACTTTGGAGCAGAACTTTTTGCATCCGTTCAGAGCTGCTCAATGATTCAGTGAATTCAAACAAAAAAGAAAAAAGAAAAGTAAAGATTTGTACCGAGTTTAACGCCCAGCGCTGGCTGACAGGAGATTGTGGACTCTTTCCTGCTGCAGTAAAGTGCTCAGAGATGCCTGTAAGGGGAAAGAGACCTTACCAGAGGGGGGTGTGTGTGTGTGTGTGTGTGGACCCAGCAGTGCACAGACAGCGTATCACTCTCTCAGGGCCTGTTGGGCACTTGGCTTTCTTTCCTTTTTTAACGCATGTGTCCCTGGATCCACATCCCTTCTCTCTCTCTCTCTCTCTCGCCACACAAAACAAAGATTTGGACATTCAAATAAAATCATAAACACAGTCTCTAGTCTCTAAATCACACATTTTCTTGATTGGTTCAGACGTTCGTTTGGATGAGGCAGAAGTCTGATGAGCAAACTTGTATGTGCTTTGACTCGTTTGGTCGAGGTAGTGACAACCAGCTTTGGGATTGGCTAACGATTTCGGCCAATGGGGTAAAAGAGAGAGAGAGAGAAAGACAGAGGCAGCTGAGTTTTCTGATTGGGCCCACAGGTTCCACGCTGACTTTTCGGTTTTCGCTCTCAGGACTCGGACTTTTGCATAAAAAGGGGGGATTTGTTTCTTTCATCATCAATGGTTTCGGTAACGTTTGTTCCGAGTGCGTCTCTCGAGCTTAAGTCAGCTGATCTCCATGATATGTGTCGTGATACTGCCGCTGTGCACTGAGTGGTCCCGCCCCCTTCTAGTAAACGTTTTCAGGGTCTCATTCGGTCCATCTACGCCTCCATAGACGGAGCTCCTTCACAATCAAAGTCTCTCACTCACGCTCCATCTGCTCATTCTAAAAAAATAGTGCAATTCTTTTTCAGCATTTATATAAATAACTCTAAATCGTCCGGTCGGCTCTCAGTCTGCATACATGTGTGTGTATATACAGCGTGATATTTCAGCGTGAGAGTCGGCACCTCAACAGATCACTGAAGTTTCTCTTTTTCTCAAACTAGACGACAACAAACAAAACATCTTTAAGAATCTATCAAGTGTATAAAAATACCTCCTCTGACCTTCTGTTCCTCGTCATATTGCAGATTGTTTCTGTTTCTCCGGGGAACAGTCTTGAACTTTGTGCAAACCTTCTTCAGAAAACATCAAATTAAAAACAACAGAAGGGGGGGTTTAAGCGAGGACTCCTGCACCGGTTGGTTGATATAAGGCAGAACATTTAGCTCGAGGACGTTCAGCACGATGCTAAGCTAGTTACGCTAACTAAACCTTAAGTCTCTCTGGAGATATTCTAACGTGCCATTTGTCCAAGGGAGTGCAGCTCATGGTGCAGGAGTCACTGGAAATGGAAAACAAATGAAGTCAAAGCAGTGACTGGGGATTATCACAAAAAAATTAAAAACCTTGCAACGTTTCGCCATTTTGTCTGGAAAGGAAATGTTTTCGTCAGCGCGAAGAAGACAAACAAACAAACATGTAAATATTTATAATGAATGAACTCTGGATAGGTCAGTCTGATAGGAGGAGGAAAAGGACGAGGCGTTCCTCCTCTGATGTGCTCTGCAGGAGGTTCAAGGCTTCCAGGTGTTCTTACCTATCCAAAAGCCGACTCCATCCCAGTCCCAGGATGATCCAGGACACTGACCAACATGCCCGGCTGAAACTACAACTAACCAGCCCTTAAACCGTTTTTTACCAAAGACCAGGTCATTCCCCTTTTGCTGAGGAAACTTCCCAGGCGGCGAGCAGAAATAGTCTTGGAATAACGAAGCCGTTCTGTCACACCTGCTGGGGCTTCTGGGATTTCTCCTTTGTGTTCCTGGCGTTCCTGTTGTCCACACTTCCTCGCCGCTGAGTGGAGGTCGGAGCAGGCCGTGCATGAACGAGGACGGCGGTGGTTGTGTGGACGACACAGTCCGATGGTGGTGGCCGGGCGTCAGGGACGTCGGGTGGTAGTAGTGGCCGATCACCTCGCTGTAGGTCGGGGGAGCGCCGTCTACTCGAGAGCCCGGCTTCTGCTGCCGGGACAACGCCTCCTGGGCTTCTAGCACACTGACGCCGGAGTGGACGCTCGGCGGAGGCGCCTGCAGACTGTAAGCAAACAAAAAGGGTCAACACCAAGATGGAGACTGAATCTGTGGGAGCAGGTTTGTCAGAGGGATCAGTACCTGGCCTGCAGACAGGAGCTGGATGGGTCAATCGGGTGGGAATCGAACACAGTCCTGTTGGGCGGCGCTCGCACCGACTCGCGGTTCAGCTCCATCTGCTGCTCGGGTCTCGGAGCTGCAGCGTGCAGGGGCCCTGGTACGGCGGGGGCTCCTCCCCGTCTGAAAGGCAGATTGTGGGGGGGAGGTCGATGAGGCTCTGGGGCAGGTAGGGGTACGTGGCTGGAAGCGACTCGGGGCGTACGTGTGCTGGAAGCGCTGGGACTGCAGAGGGGCCTGGGACTGAGGCTCCCTCTGAAGATAGGACGAGGGGGCGGTCTGTCTGGAGGGCGGGGGCTGTACACCTGGGCGTGGATGAGGAAGAGCATTGAAAGAGTTGTTGTACATTTAGTTCTTTGTTCATTTTGTTAGATTTGTAGTTCATGTACAGACTGAATGTTTAAGAAAAACTGACCTCGTGTAGACCGCTGTTTGTCCCCGTCGCCTCAGAGGACCACAGACTGCCCTCCTGAGAGAGAGAGAGAGAGAGAGAGAGAGAGAGAGAGAGAGAGAGAGAGAGAGAGAGAGAGAGAGAGAGAGAGAGAGACCCCATTACCAAACATGTCTTTTCAAACAGCATCTTTTCATGATTTAAACCATTCATTTTGAAAGGTTACAGCCGCAACTTTGCCGGGGTTTCGGTCTAAGCGAGTGACATGCCTGCTGCACATCAGCCGGAGTGGATGGAGACGACAGGAGGAGAGACACCTGCAGGAACTCAAATCTTAACAAACATATTCATCTCATGTTTAGTTACATATATTTCTTTACACTCTCAACATTTTATTTCATGATGTAAAGCAAGTTGATCTGGTCTTGGTCTTGACTCGGACTCAGAGCACTCTGGTCTCGTTCTGGGATAGTGTGGTCTGGACTCCCAACACTTATGCCAAGCTGTGACAGTCAAGAACGTTTGCAGCAGAGCAGAAGTTCTTTAGTTTAGTCTCCACTCGGAGACAATAAAGCAACATTGGTGTGATGTTGACTTTCTAGACTTTTTCTGTTAATCTTCCAGCAGTGAAAAACCACACCGAGTCACATAACACCTGATAGGATGTCGAGAGCAGAGTGCAGATGGATTTGATACCGTGTTTGTCCACTAGGGGGCTCTGCTGCTGGGCAACAAACCCTGAACTCTGAGTGCCTGCTCTCCCTCTGCAGCATCTTTTAAACCTCAGTCCTTCTCCAGAAACATAACCTGGACCTGTTTCTGGTCTAATCTGAAAAGTGTTAAGAGACTCAAAGGTTGTTATTGGTCTTTGTGCGTATTCAAAAGGGCTGACGCTACACAGAGTGGACCCAAGTGGATTGATTATTCCCATAATACAACGTGTCTCTGTCGCCGAGCTCTCAGTGAGGAGAGGACAAAGGCAGCTCTTTGCTTCTGCGATAATGTTTGTCAGGAACTTTTCCAACTTGTGTGTGTGTGTGTGCAGCTTTTTTGCTGCCTGTCTGTGTGTGTGTCAGTGTGTCTGTCTGCTAATCCAAATTAACTAGGACAATGACTCCCCAGAGCTTATCAGCAGCTCCGTCTGAGTGTGTGTGTGTGTGTGTGTGTGTGTGTGTGTGTGTGTGTGTGTGTGTGTGTGTGTGTGTGTGTGTGTGTGTGTTGTGTGTGTGTGTGTGTGTGTGTGTGTGTGTGTATGTGGGGGCACCATTATGCTTCATCTTTTACTCATATATGGAGACACCGAACACACACACACTTCAGTGATTCAGTAGCAGGTGATTCAGGAAGTGAAGTCATATGTTTTCAGAAGCCTCAGGTCTGAAGTCTGTGTGTGTGTGTGTGTGTGCGTGTGTGTGTGCGCGTGTGTGCGTGTGTGTGTGTGTGTGTGCGTGTGTGTTTGTGTGTCTGCGTGTGTGTGTGCCACTGCAGCCTCTAATGAAGACGTGAGTCAGTGCGTTAGCGTTAGCGTTAGCCTGCGGCGCTGTTTCATCTCTGTGATCACTTCCTGTCACTCTACTGCTCCTCAAACTCCGACTCTCCTCTTCTCGTTACAAACTCTCCTCACTGTGAGTCAAACTCTGATCACGCGGCTCAGATCCTCCGATGTTTTGAATATGGTGGTTATGAGTATTTATTCCTGTGTCCATCTGTTCATTTCTACTTGTCTGATGTCGGGTTGCGGTGGCATTTGTTTTTTTTTAGAAAGACGCGTTTTCAATCATCTTGATTTGAAATCTGGAGTCCACCCAGTCCGAGACGAGACCGAGACCTTCAAAAAGTGGTACTCGAGACCGGTCTTGGACTGGAGTACTACAACACTACCTTAAATAACATGAACAATATCGTTGTTTCACATGTTTAATTAATATGAAAACATGACAAACGGCGAGGAATATATTCCACGCCTGTGTCCGAGTATCATGAGGTGTGAATGTGTCTTACGTTGGCCAGGGGCAGGTGTCTCCGGCGTGCGGGGGCGTGTCTGGAGAGGATGGAGCGAGCTGATAGGCGGTAGTGGTTGAGCAGGCAGGTGATGACGACCACCATCACCATCATCACCACCACGATCACCAGGATCTGGACGAACTCCAGCTGGGCTGCGGACACACAAACAACAATCACGGTCACTTTAAGGTCAGTTTTTGCAAATCCCAAAAACTGAAGAAATCAAAATACTAAACAATATCAAAAAGGAGCTCGTCAAAAGCTGCAAGTACTTGGGTTTTCTCTTATCGACTGTGAGCCGCCTCTAAACTTAAAGGGTCAACATATTCTGTAAAATCCTCTTCCCCATGTTCCTCTAACTCTAACATGTGTCTCTATTCCGTCTACAAACCCCCCAATGATGAGAAAAGTCCATCCTCTCCGTCTTCTGCCTGCTCCACTTTTCAGAAAATGTGTGCTCAAACAGGCCGTTTGGAGGTTTTCCCTTCATGACATCACAAAGGGCACAAAGAAGAGGAGGAGGATATGTGATCTTTAAATCGTGAATAAAAAATAATAATAAAAAAAAAAAAAACACCCCACTGTGACTTTAATCAGCTGAGAGTCACAACATCAACAAACTAATTTATGTTCTTATCGTGTTAAGAGACAGAAAACAGGTTTTAGTCACTGTCACACACACACACACACACACACACACACACACACACACACACACACACACACACACACACAGAGCCAGACTAGACCAGACAGGCCGAGCTTTGTTTAGAGACAGCCTGCTCTAAGCCCCCCCTCCCCTACCAACACACACACACACACACACACACACACACACACACACACACACACACACACACACACACACACACACACACACACACACACACACACACACACACACACACACACACACACACACAATCGGAGCCTTTTTTCTCACTGTTTTTTTCTCGGGGGGCAGGCAGGGGTCAGACAGGAGAGCAGAAAGCAGCAGACGGGTTTCAGACACTTCTCACACACACACACGTTACGCAATTCTGATCAGCTCGAGGTTACACAACACAAAAGACACACACACACACACACACACACACACTCCATCATAACCTTAAATATAAAACATCTACGATTTTTAAACCTCTCTTCACGACGTCTGACATCATTCATTTCTTTGACTGTTGACACGTCAGATCGAAAACAGAATCAAGAATCGACCTCAAACAGAAATATAACAAACTGCTCTCCGGGAGTCAGAGTTTAAATGTCCCAAAACAACGTTAAAGTCGTGAAAGCGTCGATATAAACTCAGTAAGTCGGGTTTTAAAAACACAAACGCTGGCTGCTCAAATCTCAGAATCTGACTTTAATGTCCGACTTTCACCCTCAGCTGCTGCTTTTCAACACATCACGATCCACTGTCTTCACAATTTATCATCACACGGGAGCGCCGACGTCTGATTTTCCACATTTATATCCTTTAAAAGCTTCTTGATTCAAGAGTTTTTAACCCAGTTGTTCGCTCCGCAGAGTGATCCTGGTCCCTTTATCCTGGGAATACCGGTTGCTGTATTTTGTGTCACTTCTAAATGTTTCACTATGAAACAGTACATTTTGCTCCTGTTATTTCCATTTCCATCTATATTAAAAAGGAAATAACGAGTGGTTAGGGTGCACGCTCCATGTACGGAGGCTGTAGTCCTCATGGAGGGCAGCCTGGGTTCAAATCCTCTGTCCCTGCATGTCATTCCTCTCTCTCTCTTTCTAATGTCTGTCTCAAAAGGAGCCACTCTGTACTCGTGCTTGACAGCAGACACGTTTCAATCTTATTTTGATCATCTTTAAATTTGTTAATCTCGTTTTTATTCTTCTTCAGCTCGTCCTGCAAACGCTCTTTTCTCATCACAGCATTGCTTTCCTTTCCTCTATTTTCATCAACGCTGCTCAGGGCAATGCTTCACCATCTCGTATTTCTTGCAAGACGACGAAAAAGACGGAAATCTTTAACAAGAGCGTGTAAATATGTCTTCCAGCTCTGGGGGAGGGATGGGGGTATAGAGTCAGAAACCAGGGGGAAAGAGAGAAAGAGAGAGGAATGACATGCAGGAAAGGAGCCACAGGTCCGGTTCTAACCCGGGACGCCAACATGGAGGACTTTAACCTCTGCACATGGGACGCTCGGTCTAACCGATAGGTTAACGGCGCCCCCGTCTTACAGCTAATTCATCGTCAGAAGCCGATTTCCCAAGTGAAGCCATCGAGAGCTAATGCACTCAGGAGGACTTAAAGTGAGCGCAAGGCAGAGACTCCAAAACTCCCTCTACTGACCGTCTCGTGCTTCAAATCCTGCAGGTTTCCTCTGCACTGGGAAAAATCTGAAATTTATCTTTTTAGCTTGTAGCTCATTTACAACACTCTGAAGATGGACACTTCCTCTTTTAATGGACGAGTGAGGCCAATGATCTCCAACCTCTTCAGCCCAGAGTGTGAGTGTTTTCACCGAGAATCATCCTCACTCGTCTTTTTTGTTTTTATTTCCATATCAACGTCTTCGGAAAGGTTGGAAATGAAACGTCAACAAATATCACAATACATATTTATAGACTCAGGAGATAATGCACCACTTTCCTCATTTAAAACCAGCGTTTTAAATGAGTTTTTAAGTGATGAAGAGAAGTTATAGACAAGATATAATCACGTTAAAACATGTGTGGGTTGCCAGGTTGTTCAGGGAACTCATGCAGAGAGAATCATCCTGCTGTATGGGTTTTGAATTTACAGCTGCAGGTTTAACGTCTTTATGAAAAGTTATCAAGGAATAACAAACACACAAAACTCAAAGGAGAAGGGTTTTGTTTTTTGCCACACGTTGCTCCTCATGCAAAAAGAGTCTCAACCCGACAAACATTCAGTTTCCAAAGATGCAAAACACAAACGCAGAAAACCTTGATAGATGAAAATCTAAAAAGATTTTAAAGCTCAGATAAAAAGAATTTAAAGCTCATATTCTTTCAGTCAGCATTGATTAAACAGACCATAAATCCATGTCTGAAACACGGAGAGGATGCGTCCTGGTTTTCTGTTTGCTGACGCAGAGAGGATGAACTCACCGCACAGTTGTGTCTGAACACAGTTCTCATGGTTGTGACTTCCTGCTGAAGGCTGCATCGTCTCCACGTTGTACCGACCGAAACGTTCCCCCGCTTTAAAAGTTTGTTACTCCAGAGTTTCTAACCGGCAGATATTTCTCCGAACTAAAGCAAAAGAAAAGGAAAACAAACTAAAAAAAAAAACAAATGTCCCCGCTGCAGGAGAAGTCCAAACTACATGTCCTGAGGATGCTGCGACGCCGTGCGTGTGTGTGTCCTCACCGGCTGACACACACACTCTGACGCTGCACCGAGCTTTGTCTGCTACTTTTTCTCACACACATTCCCACACTGCCCAGACACACACAGACTGAGGAAACAGCTGACCAGACCCCCGTCTGCACCGCCACCTCCACCACCCAATAGCTGTGAACAAAAGGGGTCAATGTGAGGGAGGAGGGGAGAGAGAGGAGGGGAGAGAGAGGGGGAGTGGTGGGAGCGTCTGGGAGACACAGATGGGTCAGAGGGACGGGCAGAATAATGATGAGAGAGAGAGAGAGAGAGGCAGACGGAGGAGGGGAGGCCGATACAGGAACGTTGTTTTGAGTGATGAAAAACAAAATTGAAATCAATAAACTTTCAAACTGACATGTGTAGATGGTTTGTTTGCGTCGCTGCGGCCTCAGAAAGAAGCCGAGCACTGATTTAATTTGAAGTGTTATTGCAGAGGAATATCTATCTTCAGGGTGTTGTTTTCATCCCCTTCCCTACTGTCTTAAACACCTCAGCTCTGCAGATAAGATGTTAAATATGCAGCTTTGGAGCCGACCATGATGCATTTGTTCATGTTGTTGAAGGACGCTGCGAGATCTGAACATGCAGATTAAGCTGCAGCAAACTCAGCCTCCACGATTCTCATGTTTCACCTGGAAGATGTTTGTCAGAGATATCAATCAGTGCCCGCCTTTCAGGAAGTGTTTTCTTTGCTTTTGCGGGTCTTAATTCTGTTTGTAACATTTGAGACGATGACGGTTTGTAGAGAATTAAAGGAGGAGTCAGTAGAAAAGTTCAAACTGGGCCAGAAACTCACCCTCCCTACAGGACGTAGTGTGTACTACAGCCCGACAGATTAATCAAACAGCCAATAATATCGGCCAATATCAGCATATCCAGTGACTATGTATGAGCTAATTTTATCTTAGATATGCGCTGATATTACTCGATTTATTCTCCAGTTGAACAGCATTTCTATGTTATAAATCTTATAAAGTGTTTGATAACTGAGGGATCAACACAATACATGTGGTCATCTATATCTATCACTACAGATCAAAGATAGATCTAAGGAAGATATCGGCCTTTTTTTGGTATCAAAAAGTCGGCCCGATTTTTTTTAGACTTTAAATTAATTATTGTCTCGTTAGTTTGGCGTCATTGAACGCAGCATGTGCAGGTTTGATGCAGTTATGAGGGAGTTTCATAAAATCTTGCTGTTTCCCTTCAGCTGCAGCTTCTGTGATTTGATGTGTCATCATAAGAAATACTCTGAGTCAGAGTGTGTGTGTGTGTGTGTGTGTGTGTGTGTGTGTGTGTGTGTGTGTTTCAGCCTGCAGTGAAACTTGTCAGCTCCCAAACGTGGAGGTCAGCGGGTCACTGAGCAGACCTCCTCTGCTCTATCTTTTCCTCTTTTCTCTAATTTTTTCATCGTCATCTGTGAATCCTGTGTTACCTCACTCCTTCCACTTTGCAGCCTCACAAGAAAAAGTTTTTTTTTGTCTTTTGTTTCCATCCAGATGTTCTGCACATTCTGCACTGGATTCTCCAGGAGAAGGTGTAACAGGATGACATAACAGTACCGATGCACCGAGTTTTCCACTTTAGCAAAGCAGAGACGAATTCTCAGCTGCACATAAAAACACGTCTTCTTCTTCTTCGTCTCGTCCTCCCTCGGAGGTTTTTTAGCAAACAGAATAATTTTGCAAAGTAGATGTGTTGTGCAGCGTGAGCGGGGAAAACAGCCTAAAGGCCGAAGAAACACGCTTCAGTGAAGTCGCACTATAACATGTTTCTTTAACGCGATGCCTCACAGTGCTCGAGGTTTACTGCTTTTGATTTACGTCTCAATCTGACAACAAAGACTTTTTTCATTTCTAACAAAAAGCTAAAAAGCGTTGGGCTCAATGCAGCACCTTCTTCAAATTTGATTAGAAACATGTAGAGGCTTTTTAGGTCAGGTACAATCACTTCTATCTGAACCAGTTCTCTTGCCTGCTTCCATCGCTGCAACACCTGTTGGTTTGACCTGATAACTGCTCTCATATCTGGCAAACCAAGGGGCGTCCAAAACGGCCGTGTGGGGGGGGGGGGGTGCCTTAAAACCGCCTACCTTCTCTGGTCCAAACAAATCCAGAGCATTCAGGAGCAGAATCTAAAGTTAGAAGGAGGACATACTCTGTCAGAGAAGCCAGCACTTCAACATAGCATGTTTCCTTAATGTCTGATCATACAGTAAGGTCACTTTATCTTTTCACTCACTACACATCTCACTGATTGGACCTGTAAACTTGGCTTGATGCATGATGGGAAATGTAGGATTTTGAGTTAAAAAAAACAAAAACATTAAAGTCCTCATAGCGGCCTCTGGGGCAACACTTCTGTTCATAAATCTGTCACACTCACTCTCCTGTGAGTGACGCTGAAGTACTTTCCTACATCCACAGTTTTCCTTCATCGTACATCTCAGATTACTGACCTCATCTTTCTCTGCACTAAAGTTACATGTCTTTTACAAGTCATAAGAAATGAAGCTCATAAAGTGTTTTTACTTCTTGGGCTGTTTCATGAGGCTGCTGATCTCTCCCTCCCCCTGCGCTGTTGTCTAGACAGGAGGAGGCTGTGAGCCCGGCAGGCAGACACTGCATGGTTAATCTAAAGCAATTAGCTCATTTGTCATCCACTGCCTGCTCTCCGTCTCTCCTCCACCTCCTCCTCCTCCTCCTCCTCCTCGAGCTTTCAGCTAAAGGTCACTGGCGGTCAGTGTCGAGTCAGATGGCTCAGAGAGCAGACAGAGAGGAGGGGGGCCAGGAGGAAAGGAGGGAGGGGTGGAAAAGTGGAGGATGTGTAAGGCAGGAAAGAGAGAGAAGGAAAGGAGGCTGAATGCAGATTTGTTGATTTTGCAATGATTGGAAAGGTCAGCGTTATTTCTGTGTCACAGTTAGGACAACTTTGTGCACAAGTTTGAGAAGAAATGAAACTGTACCTCCAACAAACAACAACTTCACATCAGGCTGCAGCTCTGCATGTTAGCGTTAAACCTGCGAGGCGATGCTGAGGGAGAGACAGGATGTCTGTGGGCGAAAGAAGCGACCTCTGACTTGTTTACCATCCTATAGGAGTTGATAATTATTCAGTGTAGAGAGATTGCAGCTGTTTAACACCTGACACCAGTATGCACAGGTATTTTACCTGCTCATGCTGATTATAACGCAGAGAGAGAGAGAGAGCTTCCAGCAATCATCTCCCTGAAGCCGTTTCCACACATGCACTGCTGAAATGTTCTAGAGAACTTCAGGAGGACTGACGCTGAAATCCTCTTGATCTGGTCGTTCATGCACCTCACAACGGGAGACCTGGTCGGACGAGAGGGTGGGGGTGGGGGGGGGCTCTCCTGATGTGGAGGTGGGGGCCAAAAATCACATCAAATCCTCTACGGACGTCATGCTAAGATAACCCGATCTACAGTAGAAACCTCTCAAAAATCCGAACATAACTCAGCCTCAGCTTGAGCGAAGTGCCTGTTTTACGGTGACAAGGTGATCAAAGCTGCAGATTGAATTCTCTGCAGGATGATCTCTTTGACTGACTTGACTGACCCTCAGCAAGATGCATCATAATGCTGCTTTCACACCTGCAGAAAACTCCTGATATTCTCAGTCTGAGTGTCACAAACAGCTGAATGTTTCTCTCTTCACCTGGAGTTTCTCCTCCAGCCTCCTCGTATTTATTCTGCAGAAAGTCAGAGTGAGCTGATGTGAGAACGCAGCAGGATATAATCAGGAGAATTCACCTGGAGTGAGTGGGAGGGGGGGGTGACGTTTATTCCCTGTGATTGCTGCACGACCATAGACTGTCTGCACGCCACCTCTACCATCTCCGTGTTCTAATGAACCTGCTGCATTATGTTTCCTGTTCTCCAGTTTATGTTCTTCTCCACTCTTTAGTTCACATTGAGATTCTCTTCAACTACACGTAGCGTTGATAGAAAGACACGTATTATCATTATAGGGTCGTATAGACGACTCTGCTGCTTTGTACGCTACTTCTGCGTCTTTTTTTATCGTCAGGTTTTACCTCGGGAGAAAAGTCATAAAGACTGTTTGACTTCACATATTTCTCACCAAGAAAGACGGGAGGATTTTCCCTGCATCATGTGTCCAAAGGAGGAACACAAAGAGGAAGTATCTGAAGAGGGAGAGAAGTACAGAGGAAGGAAAAGGAAAGTAAAAAGAGTTTTGATACGAGCGATGAAAAGACGAAGAACACGAAGGAGACGGGTGAAAAAGTCAGTGAGGAAAGGAAGGAGGAAGGAAAGGAGAGAAGTGTAGACACAGAGAGACGCTCACTAATTCCTCTTGCTCACCCCCCTCCTCCCTCCACCTTCAGTCCTCGGATGACTCGACAGTCTGGGTAGTCAGAAATAGCACAGACAGCTGTGTGTGTGTGTTTGTGTATTTCTGTGTGTTTGTGTGTTGTGTGTGTGTGTGTGTGTGAGTGTGAGTGTGTGTGTGTGTGAGTGTGTGAGAGAGAGAGAGAGTTATAGGTCATAGGTCCACACAATTTGCTTGCTTGCCAATTTCCATGAGAAAGGCTATAGGGGGTAAAAGGAGGAGGGAGGAGGGGTCACAAACACACACACACACACAAACACACACACACACACACACACACACACACACACACACACACACACACACACTGACTTTGGGAGCCACGGTCATGGTGCAGCCAACAAGTGTGGGAACTTTGGTCCTAAAAACTCCCACTGCTGGTTCCAACAGTGGGAAAAAACAGAGAGGGAGG